ACCTGCCCCAGTAATAGTACCCAGACAGTTTAACCGCACGTACTAGTACCCAGACAGTTTACCTGCACAGTTACTAGTTTCAAGCACAGATTCATGTACCAGTTCTAGTATTCAAGCACAGTTTCCTGTACAGTACTAGTACCAGACAGTTACCTGTGACAGTACTTAGGACCCGGACAGTGTACCTTACAGCACTAGTATCAGCAGTTTACTGTACAGTAACTAGTACCATGACTGTTTACCTGTACAGTACTAGTTACCAGACAGGTGTACTGTACAGTACTAGTATCAAGCACAGTTTACCTGTACAGTACTCTAGTACCAGACAGTTTACCTGTACTGTACTAGTACCAGCTGGTACCTGTACAGTATTGTTCAAGCACAGTTTACCTGTTACCAGTACTAGTACCAGACTAGTTTACCTGCCACTAGTACTAGTACCAGACAGTGTACCTGTACGTACTAGTACCAGTGTTCCTGTACCAGTATAGTACCAGACAGTTTACGGTACAGTACTAGTACCAGACAGTTTACTGCACAGTACTAGTACCAGCAGTTTACCTGCACAGTACTAGTACCAGACGTTACCTGCTCGGTACTAGGACCAGACAGTTTACCTGCACAGTACTAGTTCAAGTCAGTTTACCTGTACAGTTCTGTACAGACAGTTTACTGTACAGTACTAGTCCAGTGTACCTGTACCTTCTAGTACCAGACAGTTTACCTGCTTACAGTTACTAGTACCAGGACAGTTTACCTGCCACAGTACTAGTACAGGACATGTTTACCTGCACAGTTACTAGTACCAGACAGTTTACGGCACAGTACTAGTACCAGGACAGTTTCTGTTACAGTACTAGTTACCAGACAGTGTACCTGCACAGTACTAGTACCAGACAGTATACCTGTAACAGTACTAGTACCAGACGTTTACTGTACAGTACTTAGAAAAAAAAAAATACCAGGACCAGTTTACTGTCAGGTACTAGTACCAGACATTTTACCTGTATAGTAGAGTATCATGCACAGTTTACCTGTATATGTCTAGTACCAGACAGTTTACCTGACAGTACTAGTACAGACAGTTTACCTGTACTGTACTAGTACAAGGACAAGTTTTCTGTACAGTACAAGTACCAGGACAGTTTACCTGCACAGTACTAGTACCAGTGTTACCTGTTACAGTACTAGTACCAGTGTACCTGTACAGTACTAGTTCAGAGTTTCCTGCCACAGTACTAGTACCAGACAGTTTACCTGCACTGTACTAGTACCAGACAGTTTACGCTACAGTCTTGTACAAGTGCTCCTGTACAGGTACTAGTACAGACAATTTACTGTACTCTGTACTAGTAACAGACAGTGTTACTGTACAGTACTAGTACCAGCATTTACCTGTACAGTACTAGTACTGTTTACCTGCTTTACACTGTTACTAGTACCAGACAGGTTTACCTGCCACTGTTCTAGTATCAAGCACAGTTTACTGTACAGTACTAGTACAGACAGTTTACCTGCACAGTACTAGTTACCAGACAGTTTTCCTGTACATACTAGTACCACACGTTTACCTGGCACAGTATAGTACCAGACAGTTTACCTGCCACAGTCTAGTATCAAGCCACAGTTTACCTGTACAGTACTAGTACCAGACAGTTTACCTGCACAGTACTAGTACCAGACAGTTTACCTGTACAGTACTAGTACCAGACAGTTTACCTGCACAGTACTGACAGACTGTTTACCTGCCACAGTACTAGTACCAGACAGTTTACCTGCCACCGTTACTAGTACTGACAGTTTACCTGCACAGTACTAGTACCAGACAGTTTACCTGCACAGTACTAGTACCAGACAGTTTACCTGCACAGTACTAGTACCAGACAGTTTACCTGCACAGTACTAGTACCAGACAGTTTACCTGTACAGTACTAGTATCAAGCACAGTTTAACCTGCACAGTATAGTACCAGGACAGTTTACCTGCCACAGTACTAGTTAACCGGACAGTTTACCTGTACAGTACTAGTACCAGGACAGTTACTGTTACGTACTTAGTAACAACAGTTTACCTGGACAGTACTAGTACCAGACAGTTTACCTGCACAGTACTAGTACCAGACAGTTTAGACCTGTCAGTATAGTACCTGACAGTTATACCTGTACAGTCTAGTACCAGAACAGTTGACCTGTACAGTACTAGTACCAGACAGTTTACTGTACAATTATAGTATCAAGCACAGTTTACCTGCACTGTACACGTACCAGACAGTTTACCTGCCAACGTACTAGTACCAGAGTTTTACCTTGCACCAGTTAGTACCAGACAGTTTACCTGCACAGTTACTACCAGACGTTTACCTGTACGTATAGTATCGCAAGCACAGTTTACCTGCACGTTACTTGTAACCAGACAGTTTTTCCTGCACAGTACTAGTACCAGAGAGTTTACCTGCACAGTACTAGCACCAGACAGTTTACCTGTACAGTACTAGTACCAGACAGTTTACCTGCACAGTACTAGTACCAGACAGTTTACCTGCACAGTACTAGTACCAGACAGTTTACCTGCACAGTACTAGTATCAAGTACAGTTTACCTGCACAGTACTAGTACCAGACAGTTTACCTGCACAGTACTAGCACCAGACAGTTTACCTGCACAGTATTAGTACCAGCGACAGTTTACCTGCCACAGTTACTAGTACCAGACAATTTACCTGCACAGTACTAGTATCAAGTACAGTTTACCTGCACAGTACTAGTACCAGACAGTTTACCTGCACAGTACTAGTACCAGACAGTTTACCTGCACAGTACTAGCACCAGACAGTTTACCTGCACAGTATTAGTACCAGACAGTTTACCTGCACAGTACTAGTACCAGACAGTTTACCTGCACAGTACTAGTACCAGACAGTTTACCTGCACAGTACTAGTATCAAGCAACCAGTTACCTGCACAAGTACTAGTAACCAGACAGTGTACCTGCACAGTACTAGTACCAAGCAAGTGTACCTGCACAGTACTAGTACCAGACAGTGTACCTGCACAGTACTAGTACCAGTGTACCTGCACAGTACTAGTACCAGACAGTTTACCTGTACAGTACTAGTACCAGACAGTTTACATGCACAGTACTAGTACCAGTGTACCTGTACAGTACTAGTACCAGACAGTTTACATGCACAGTACTAGTACCAGACAGTGTACCTGTACAGTACTAGTACCAGACAGTGTACATGTACAGTACTAGTACCGACAGTTTACATGCACAGTACTTAGTGAACCAGAACAGTGTACCTGGACAGTACTAGTACCAGAAGTGTACTGTACAGTACTAGTACCAGACAGTGTACCTGTACAGTACTAGTACCAGACAGTGTACCTGTACAGTACTAGTACCAGACAGTTTACATGTACAGTACTAGTATCAAGAACAGTTTACCTGCACAGCACTAGTATCAAGCATAGTTTACCTGTACAGTACTAGTACCAGACAGTGTACCTGCACAGTACTAGTACCAGACAGTTTACCTGCACAGTACTAGTATCAAGAACAGTTTACCTGCACAGCACTAGTATCAAGCATAGTTTACCTGTACAGTACTAGTACCAGACAGTGTACCTGCACAGTTCTAGTGCCAGACAGTGTACCTGCACAGTACTAGTACCAGATAAGTGTACCTGCACAGTACTAGTACCAGTTTACCTGTACAGTACTAGTACCAGACAGTTTACCTGCACAGTTAAAAGCACAGTTTACCTGTACAGTACTAGTACCAGACAGTTTACCTGCACAGTACTAGTATCAAGCACAGTTTACCTGCACAGTACTAGTATCAAGCACAGTTTACCTGCACAGTACTAGTACCAGACAGTGTACCTGCACAGTACTAGTTACAGAAGGTTTACTGAACAGTTTTAAAAGCACAGTTTACCTGTACAGTATATTACCAGACAGATTTACTGCACAGTACTAGTTCTCACAGCACAGTTTATTTACAGTACTAGTCTCCCTCCCTAAACATCACCTACAATACCCCTCCCTAAACCCCCCCCAACACAAAATATAAAATACCCCTCCCCCCCCCCACCATATCCCTTTTCATACCTGCCACAGTACTAGTACCAGGACAGTTATGCACAGTACTAGTTATCAAGAAAAGTTTACCTGCCACAGCATAGTATCAAGCACAGTTTACTTCACAGTACTAGTACCTGACAGTTTACCTGCCACAGTATAGTATCAAGCACAGTTTACCTGCACAGTACTAGTTATCAAGCACTGGTTACTGCACTAGTACTAGTATGTCAAGCACAGTTTACCTGCACAGTACTAGTATCAAGCAGTTTACCTGCACAGTACTAGTATCAAGCACAGTTTACCTGCACAGTACTAGTATCAAGCACAGTTTACCTGCACAGTACTAGTGATCGCAGTTTACCTGCAACAGTACTAGTATCAAGCACAGTTTACCTGCACAGTACTAGTATCAAGCACAGTTTACCTGCACAGTACTAGTATCAAGCACAGTTTACCTGCACAGTACTAGTATCAAGCACAGTTTACCTGCACAGTACTAGTATCAAGCACAGTTTACCGGCACAGTACTAGTATCAAGCACAGTTTACTGCCACAGTACAAGTATCTGAAGTTTACTGCACTGTACTAGTAATCAAGCACAGTTTACCTGCCACAGTACTAGTATTCAAGCACAGTTTACCTGCACAGTACTAGTATCAAGCACAGTTTACCTGCACAGTACTAGTATCAAGCACAGTTTACCTGCACAGTACTAGTATCAAGCACAGTTTACCTGCACAGTACTAGTATCAAGCAGTTTACCTGCACAGTACTAGTATCAAGCACAGTTTACCTGCACAGTACTAGTATCAAGCACAGTTTACCTGCACAGTACTAGTACCAGACACAATTTACCACAATATACTCGTGCAATGATATTAGTAGTGCAGCACTTGCCACCATCCTAATACAATGTTGCCCTTCCTGTTGCCTGCATTTATAGGTCTTTGTTCTGTCACTTAGACAGGCACTCCATTCTCTTCATGACGACGAATGTTCTCCTCTGATTGGTGGAGGATGCGGTAGTAGTCTGTCTGAGGGATGCACACAAACTGGCAGTCATCCACTTTAGAACGCATGATACCCTGGTGGTATAGTTTCTCCATCGTTGGGGTTATACCAAAACTGGAACAGAGAGATTTTGGTTAGTGTATTGACATTCTTGTATAACTGTGGTCGCATGTGTCATCATGACTGTAAAAAAATAAGAAGGAACAATATACAAATAACCCCACATACAGGAGAATATAAAATAATAAAATCTTTGATTTCTACAAGCACATGATACCAACTTATTCCAGGCATGGATAACATCACTGACATGCTATATAGAAAGCCCCTGGTTATGGAGAGCATTTCTGGATGTGACCCACACTAGTTGACTAATACCCCAGGTACCTACCTACTGCCTAGGTGAAAACAGGGAGATCAGGTGTAAGGTGACTAATACCAGGTACCTACGTGCTGGTTAGGTGAACAGCCAAAAAAATGACAGCAGGTGTAGGAAACATTTGCCCAATGCTTTCCACCCTTATCTCATGGACACTCATGTGTGAGCTGTGTGTGCGGGGGGGGGGGTTACCACTGAGCTCTAAGACACTTGGGACGACATTTCGGTCTGACCTAGCCATTAATGTAGTAGTTTCATTCTCCCAGGTGAGGTTGTGTCATGTGTTGGACTAAATAAATCTCTGGTGGGGAGGTGTCTTTGATGCCGGGAAAGTGGATCTTGGATCTTCAGAACCGGCTCGTCTTTCCTTCCTCGGACAATGTTCCCATCCCCAGCCGCAGACTATATCACCCCTACAGGTGTAGCACTTCCATCATGAATGCAGTAACAATAATTATAAACAAATTTCTTTATTTGGAATTATTACAGTACATAAATCAAGCACTACAGTATTTACTAAGTTGTAAAAGTAACTGATCTACAATTTAATAAACATCAGTTTAACAAACTTTAAAAAATTATTACTGAAATATACAAACATTTCTTAAACCTCTTTTCTTACTCTATGACTCAAATTTTGATTTTGAAATATCATATTACAATATACAAGCATTTTTAAAATCTCTTTTTTTTTTTTTTTAAACCAAGACATGAATTCTGTTTTTGAGTTACCTGTCTCCCAGATGAAGTTGATGGACAGAGCCGTCCAGTTGGGTTACCTCAACGTGACCATTAATTATGACACTCCACGAGTCCAGCTCCTTACCATGATTCATGAGGACAGTGCCAGCTTCCTCCACCACTGCAAACACCTGCATCACACAAGTCATCGTATAAGATTGCAAGATTCTTCAGTTATTAATTGTAATGTGAAGTACACTGCCAATTATGACAAAATTAATATAAATTAAAAGTGCTCTACATCTTCTCTCATATATCTCCTCTAGATAATGATTATTTTTGAAAATGTGGATAAACAAAAGTGGATTGAAAACTGAATAGGTCAATGTATAAAGAATAATAAAGGAACAATACCATTGACTGGAACAATACACAAGTAACCCGCACATACCAGACTAAAACTTCTGACAACGTTTTGGTCCAGCTTGGACCATTGACTAGTCACTTACTTGGTCCAAGTCAGACCAAAACGTTGTCGTAAGTTTGTCTTCTACGTGTGGGTTATTTGTGTATACTATACAGGCTTTTTACCAAACAATTCAATTTTGGATATAAATTGTCTTTCAACTGCATTTATATGACAACGTTGAATGCACAGCAACATCTTGCAAGTTACCACAGCTTGAGACATGGCCTTCCTGACAGACATACAACCTACCACAGCTTGAGACATGGCCTTCCTGACAGACATACAACCTACCACAGCTTGAGACATGGCCTTCCTGACAGGCATACAACCTACCATAGCTTGAGACATGGCCCTTCTGACAGGCATACAACCTACCATGACTTGAGACATGGACTTCTGCCAGGATACAACCTACCACAGCTTGAGACATGGCCTTCCTGACAGGCATACAACCTACCATAGCTTGAGACATGGCCTTCCTGACAGGCATACAACCTACCATAGCTTGAGACATGGCCTTCCTGACAGCCAAAGTCATATTGGAAAAAGATCGCAGCCACTGTGTAAACTCCAACAGCACTTTAATGTCATCCTCCGTCCTCTCACTGGGGTCCTTCTGGAGGCACTCCTGTACTGCATCGCGTACTGCTAAACTCTGTGTGTGGAGAAACACACACAATCTTATTAGTCTTGTGCATTTATGACGGTCTATCCCATTAAGTTCCTAAAAACTGTCAGAGATTAAATATTAAATGTTCTCAACTCAATGTCACTCAAAATCAATGATGTATAGGTGGTGGAACATTTGTGTATAATAATAATAATAATAACAATAATAATAATAATAATAATACTGTGCTTACGGAAGATTCTAAAGGAAAATTGCAAAGGTTAGTGGATGAGTTTGGGAGTGTGTGTAAAGGTAGAAAGTTGAAAGTGAACATAGAAAAGAGTAAGGTGATGAGGGTATCAAATGATTTAGATAAAGAAAAATTGAATATCAAATTGGGGAGGAGGAGTATGGAAGTAGTGAATGTTTTCAGATATTTGGGAGTTGACGTGTCGGCGGATGGATTTTTTATTATTATTTTATTATTTAGTAATTTTAGCATACATACAGAGGTACAAAAAAATACAGGTAAGAGCAGCATGCCAAAGCCACTTATATGCATAGCATTACGGGCTGGCTTAAAATTAACTTAAGATTAACTAAGCAATGATGAAATCAGTGATAAAACATTATTGTAAACAGATAACTATAAAGCATAAATGAGTATTACAAAGACAGGTCATATGGTTGCATGCATTGTTGTACATTCAGTCGTATGGTGTATTGTGTTAGGTAGTGTATTTAAAAAATTATAAAGTTAGATTGGGTTTTAGGTTTAACATTTATGTAATATAATTGTGAGAAACATTTAAGATATACAATTTATAAGGTTAAGTTATTCAGTATTTATTTGGTTTTGGGTGAGTAAGTGATCTTTGGGAAGAGACTTGAATTTATAAACAGGTAGTGTTTCTTTTATATTTACAGGTAATGAATTCCAGATTTTAGGGCCTTTTATATGCATTGAGTTTTTGCATAGTGTGAGATGGACACGAGGAACATCAAAGAGTGATCTGTGCCTTGTGTTATGGTCATGTGTTCTGTTGAGGTTGGCAAGGAGATGTTTGAGGGGAGGGTTAATATCAGAGTTAAGTGTTCTATGTATGTAATAGGTGCAGTAATAAGTATGGATGTTTTGTATGGTGAGTAGGTTTAGTGTATTGAATATTGGTGGAGTGTGCTGCCTGTAGTGAGAATTTATCATGAAGGATGAGGTTGATCATAGAAATGATAAAGGAAAAAAGGTGAGTGGTGCGTTGAGGTGTATGTGGAGGCAAAAAATGTTATCTATGGAGCCAAAGAAGGGAATGTATGAAAGTATAGTGGTACCAACACTCTTATATGGGTGTGAAGCTTGGGTTGTAAATGCTGCAGCGAGGAGGCGGTTGGAGGCAGTGGAGATGTCCTGTCTAAGGGCAATGTGTGGTGTAAATATTATGCAGAAAATTCGAGTGTGGAAATTAGGAGAAGGTGTGGAGTTAAAAGTATTAGTCAGAGGGCTGAAGAGGGGTTGTTGAGGTGGTTTGGTCATTTAGAGAGAATGGATCAAAGTAGAATGACATGGAGAGCGTATAAATCTGTAGGGGAAAGAAGGCGGGGTAGGGGTCATCCTCGAAAAGGTTGGAGGGAGGGGGTAAAGGTGGTGTTGTGGGCGAGGGGCTTTGACTTACAGCAGGCATGTGTGTGAGCGTGTTAGATAGGAGTGAATGGAGACAAATGGTATTTGGGACCTGACGATCTGTTGGAGTGTGAGCAGGGTAATATTTAGTGAAGAGATTCAGGGAAACCGGTTATTTTATATAACCGGACTTGAGTCCTGGAAATGGGAAGTACAATGTCTGCACTCTAAAGGAGAGGTTTGGGATATTGACAGTTTGGAGGGATATATTGTGTATTTTTATACACAATATATCATTCAACACTTTCACCTCACTCACACATAATCAATGTTTTTGCAGAGGTGCTCAGAATACAACAGTTTAGAAGTATTGTGTATTTTTATACAGTATTTTATCACGGGTCTAGTCTCGTGATAAAGTACTGTGAATTCTGATACAGAGTTAGCAGGTTCGAGTCCTGCTGTGGACGTAGACACAATGTTTGTAAATAATTTCACCTGTTTGCGAATTGTTAAGCATATATAATTTGTGTGTGTGGGGGGGGGTGCCGAATAGGCAAAATTGGTCAATTACCAACAACTCATTTAAAATTAAGTCCTTTCTAAAAATTTTTTCCCTTAACTTTTGATTTTTTTTTCAAAAAAAAT